CTTGTCGAGGCCAAGACATGGCAATCTTGGGACCCTGCTCCGCGACGCAGCTTTGCTTTTCATCGAGACTTGAATATCCTCGCCGAAACGGCCCCGCATCGCATCGTCGGGCGGTGCGGGAATGCTGAGCCCCTGTTCCGCTGCTGAGGATGGATCCGCACCGTGTTGCTTAGCGCCTTGCTGCGGCAAAGGAGCATGACGGCGTCTCGATGACGGTACCTGGGGATAACGTTCAGCCGTCTGGGCCGCCATGTGTGTCAAGCTGCCGAAGCGGGCAAGACGCATCGTCATCAATAGCGTCTGCACCTTTGATTGAGGCGCAACGTGTAGTATGGAGGCTGGCCTGTCGTGTCGCCCGTTAACAAGTCACCGCGCCAAGCGCCGCGAGAAAGCGTACTGTACTGTATCTTGTTTACATGCACAGACGCTTTTCCAGGAGCCCTGACAAGCGTACGGAGTAGGGATCGAGACTATATATGGCTGTTTAGCACTGTCGGGTAGCGTGAAGCAGGAGATGATATATCATGTCAGCATGTTGAAACGACACAGTGCGCGAAACGACCACGTATCCAAACACGGCGCCTGCTGGCTCGAGATACCCGGTACCTCAGGTGCGGGCAGCAGCGAGGTTTTGTGTACAACATGACAGCGCGCAACGTGGCGAGCTGAAATCGCTGGGACGCCTTGTGCCGAGTACCTGGCCAGAAAGTACCTCGTCCCGGATCGAAGCAGGGTCCCGAAAACCCTTGTGGCTATCCGACGCCTGCCACTCACTCTCACCGTCTTCATCTCTCTGCGGGGGATCAATAATCAGGCCAGATCAGCAAAAGGTCTGAAAAGCAACTCCTCGATGGCGAAGCGTATGCAACGAATCGTCAAAAGAAACATCACCAAGGGCTCGCCGCCTCTTCCCCCTCCTGGCCGGCTCGAGTTTTCCTCCACGAGCGTCCGACGACTTGCTTTTCCCCTCCCTGGACATGCGGCCACGCGAGCATCCACCAACGACCCGCGGCCAATGGATGTCTGGTGGCGCTGCTCCAATGGTTTTTAGGACAATGGCGAACAGACAGGCACGACTTTGTGATAGCAGACGGCCTTGTTCCCTCCTCATTGCCCCGGGGAGAAGAGAACAGCTGCCTACCTTGGTGCGGCGCGATAGGTTCGAGCATCGGCGCTGTCTACTCGCGCGGTTGGGCCGCTGGGGGACATGGCAACCAACGAGACTCTTCCCCCGACGCTTACTACACGCCCCCACACGGTATAGACGTGCCCCGAGAAACCAAGGAGCGGGAGCTTTCCGTTGGTTCGCGTCCGTGCAGGGTGGATTGCCCAGCGCCGCCCACGTGGTTCGTCTCCCCTCCCAAAGGGCGCTTTGAGAGAAGACATGTCGACATTTCCCCGACCTGTCTCTCCGTACAGACATCAGGGTTCGAATAACACTGACCAAAGCTCAACTGTAGGTTTGCCAACATTTGAAATGTCTGGCGCCACCTCTCGTGTTGAACCACCCCCGCCGCACTTGCGACAGCCACTCGTCTCTTTCTGAGAGGCGCCGTGGCACCTTGTGGCCACGGACGGCATGCCGTTGCTCATTTTCCCGGTCAGCCCGTAGCGGGTGCCGTCCCCTCTCCGATCCCTTGGGGTCGGTGGTGATCTCATTTCATTCCGCGCCGCGGCTCGGCTCGACGATGCGCGTCCCGCCTCCGCGCCCTGTTCTGGGGGCGTGCAACTTTGTCGTGCTCAAGCGCATGAGGAAATCACCATTGCTCGTTGAGGCAGTCTCCTGCAAAGAAGCAGGGTTGTCGCCGCCGTGATCACGGCTGTCCTTCGCAAAACATGGCCTAGAATCGCGATCCTCTATCAAGCACACCCCTTGGCCTGGCACCCGGCCATGATCGGATGGACTGACCGTGCACGGCCTGCAAAGCAAGACGAACGGGTGGGATCCCTTGTCCACCATCCTTGCGAAATCGCATCCGGCTTCGGTTCTCCTTTCCGAGCCTGGAGGCGATTTCGCGAACCCGAATCATGGCACGCATTTTGGCCATTTTGGCCCGTGGATGGCTCAAATCCACGAGAAGGCCTCCCTGGCCCTCTTGCTTAGACTGGGGTATCTGGGGTAATTTGCCACGAAGTTGTCTCTTTCCTCCCCGCCAAAGGACCCCATATACCAGCCTATCACAACCGTCCTTGACCTGAGACAAGCGCCTAATGCTGGCATGCGAAAATAGCTTGGGCCGGCTATATACATACACTCCGTCTCTATTTTTTCCATGGCTGTCTCGAGTTGCTTTTCTTTTTCGCCTCTTCTACGATCCCTCATCCTTGATCTGTGACGCAATGCGAAATGTTTCTTCTCAAGTTGTATGTACGATTAATGACGGCCCGCCTGTGTATGTTTCTCCCGAAACGACACTAGGACCCCTCGAGGGCATTTCACAGTCTTCTCGGCGGGAGAAGCGAAATGGGTCAACGTGGCTTTGGTGCTGGCATGGCCACCTGTTGTTCCCCCATGCGGCCACGCACAATAGCCTTGTCAACGACGTGCCAAGCCAACGACCGGCAATCAGGTTCCCGCGATCGAGAGTGTCCTTTGATGCCATGAATGGCTGATACTGTCGAGATATTATGATGGCGGAGCAAGCTGGAGGCATGTCCCCGTTGGGACCCTTGGAACCGCGCGCAACACCTCCGCGGCAAGTCGAGTCCGGCTTGCACAGATATGGTCGGCCGGCACGTTACATCGTCAAAGTGCCTCCTCTCGGTCATGGCTTAGCCCGGGGGCTGGCTAATTGTGTGCCTGCCAGGCATCGCAGTCATATCTGGACTTCCTGAGCGCGTCGCCAGTCGACGAATTAAGCCGATGCTAGCAAGGGTGCCGTCTTCTCCACCCCTTTGGGGTTCGGCTCTTGGCGTGCCTGGTTGCCGTCTGTTGATTCCGTGACACCCGGACGAGAGCGGGCCTTGGGCTCTTCGAGGACGCCTGCAGTTCTTTGGGGCTCTGCACTCGACCATGACCTTGATAAGCATCTCGACTTGGCACCGAAAGCCCGGGTCGCCGCCCTCTCGCCACTGTCATTCCGTGGAACAAAGCACGAACGGATCTGGTGTGATCGATATCTCAAAGTGAAAAGCTGCAGCCTGCCCACTACCTACCGTGGTCAGGTCCACCGCAGCGTCGACCATTGAAGCCCCCCGGGGGTGGGGATAATGGGTGTGAGACATGCTGTACGAAGCATATCGGGCGCTAGGAGCAAGGACGCTCAGCGTTGGCGACTTCAGTTGCTTCTGCCGGCTCGCACGCAAGGGCAGGACTCATCTAGTCATGTGCCCATCCTTATCAGTCAGTCAAGGATTGAAAGTGCTTTGGCAAATCTTCACTTTGTCGCCAACGCGCAGGTTAGATGGCGCATTGACGCTGTCTTCGGCGGTTCGTTAGGAGGGCGAGGTCGCCCGAGACATGGCGCGCCGTGAAATAACACTGCTAAAGGAGAAGGTTGACTCGAAGGTTTGGGTACAACAGCATTGGCATGACCAACTGCCGTGGGCGCTGCATCTCGAGTGGCGGCGGAGGACGAACCTCTCTGGCATGGTGAGACCAACAAGGACCAAGGAAGCGCTATGCCAACCGCATAAACAATATCGATACCCATGCGACAGCCATGATGCACACAATTCACTCGCTTCCACTTACATTTGCTCGCGGAAGAGGAAAAAAGGACACGAGATGCTCGCTACTCGCACCGGCAAGCCTGCCTTGACGGGTTTATGCTTCGCGTGTTACCGCCGTGTGTCTTGAGAGGACGGCTATGGGGGCTCTTGCGCCGTCTCGCCTCGACGGCCTCGTACAGGACAGGCTTGGACGCCGACTCCTCCGTCACATCATGTCGAACAAATTCCGCGGCCAGGGCACGGGGAAGAGGCCGTGCTTCCTCGTCGCCCTGTGAGACACCCAGCAAGGAAACCTACACCAGCCAGACCACTCGGGAAACATGCACGCGGTAAGCTGCAAGTGACATTCTTATGGCCCATCGATTGGCCCGGAGTCCCACCCCGGCGTTACAAGGGACTAGCGTTGTGGTCTTGCGGCCACCTGTTTCGAAGGTAGAGATCCGACTTGAAGATCTAGAATTCTGAGCTCCACGGTATAGCGTTTCGAATTCCCGTGTTGACGAATAGTAGCCCATTTTGATTCAGTGTTGTTTGCGTCTTTCTCCCCCCTCGAGGGCGGAAACATGCCGACTAGCTAGCGCCCGGTGTCCACGATTCCACACGCCCACGGTCGAGAAGCCCGCTCCGGAACGTGGGCGGTGGTTATTTCGAGTTAGCGGCAGGCAAAGCCGCCGCATGGGGATCCTAGGACAACATGGACGCCCTGGGGCTAAGCGGGTGTGCTGCGCGGATGCTGGGTCAGCTGGAAAGCCTGCCGCGAGGGCACCGTGCTCCTGGAACACAGCTCCCCCTTTCCCTCGTTGGGTAGACGGCACGGCAACGTGCTCTGTGCACACGCGCGCTTCTCGTGGCAGCCGGCCCGCGTCTTGTTTCTACTTTTCCTGTCGAGCTGAAAATTACTTGTTGCTCAGACGACAGGTCTTGCTCGGACGGACGCATACCGGAGTGCTTATGCCGTGTCAAACATGCAGGCTCATGCTTAAGCTCTGGGGATCTCCAGGGTACCAGTGGACTAAGTTGTCTTGCCGCCATATCTGCAGCAGCGAGAATGTGCTATTCCTTAGCCGTCTATGTGCAGCCCCTACAGTCTCTGACGATACAGGCCATCTCCCGATAATTCACGATTCCCTCGACGCTGGAGACGAGAAGACATGAAGCCCCGTGATTTCCCCTTCCTCAGCTCCTATCCAACCGGCAAAATGTGAATATATATGTACACGGGGACCAAAACCCTCTTCTCTACACGTGGCCCCGCCATGCCTTGCCTCCTCTAGACTGCCCGTTCCCTGTCGTCCCCCTAAGAGGGGAAAAAAGGAACGGCAACGCGCTCAAAAGTCAAACTCGGGCCGGAAGACGTCCGGGTCGACGCCCGGGACTGTCTTCTCGGCCAAGTCCCTGCGACCCATCTGAGTGAAGACGCGGCGCAGGGTGTCGTAGAGGGTGCTGCTACGGTTCTGTGCCGACATGCGGTCGAGGGCCTCGTCGACGAGCGGGGCGGCGTCGTTGCCGAGGATCTCGTAGGCCTGGGTGCGGCCCGACGTCTCAATCGACTTGTGCATGGCGAGGGCGGCGAGGAAGTGGCACGCGGCTTCCTGGTGGCAGTTGATGTTTATGCAGCTGACACCGAGGTTGTAGCGGGCGCGGACAAAGTTGGGCGACAGCGAGAGGGCCTGCTCGTAGGCGGCAATGGCCTCCTCGGAGCGGCCGCTGTTTGCGAGGGTGGCGCCAAGGCGGTTCCAGAGCAGGTGGACCTGCTCCTGTTGGTTCGAGGTGCCGAGCTCCGACGAGTGCAGCGCCGACTGGAAGCAGTCGACGGCCTTGTCGTACTCCTCAGCGCCGTAGAAGAGGACGCCGAGGCCGACCTGGACGTCCGGGTCCATGTGCTCGCCGTCCGGGCTCAGCTGCGCCGCCTTGATGAAGAGGCCCGTCACCTTGTCGTGGAGCATCTGCCGGTCGGTGAAGCCCATGTCGGCAGGCGGGTGCACGTCCTTGGGGTCGAGGATGCCCGGGTACTTGACCGAGAGCCAGCGCTCGAGGGTGCGGTAGGCGGTGCTGTCGTAGCCCTCGTTTGTGTACGACACGGCCAGGCCCATGAGGGCATCCAGGTTGTCCGGTTGGAGCTTGAGCGCCTCCTCCATGGCCCGGATCGCCGCCGTCTCCTTTTCGTTCTGCGCCTGCGCCTGGCCGAGGTAGACCCAGGCCTCGACGTGCGCCGGGTCCTGCTGGACGGCCGCCTCGAACGCCAGCGCCGCCAGCGACAAGTTACCGCCGTCCTTCATGACGAGCACGCCCTGCTCGAACGCGCTTTTCTGGTCGCGGAACATGTTTTCCTGCTCAAACATGTACTTGTCGATGACGGGGTCGCTGAAGCGGCCCCAGTCGCCCATGCCCTGGAAGTCGTGCATCATGTCGTTGTTCCACTCCTGGTCGAACTGGTCGAGGAATTGGTCTTGGTTGACCATGGACCTAGCAGCAGCTGTCTCAGCCTGGATCCCCTTCCATATGGATTCAAAGTCACCGAACTCATTCGTCTCCGACTGCATCGCCTTGTCCATCTCGTCGAGCTCGCGCTCCGCGGCGTTGGCCTCGTCCTGTTCGCTCTGCTTCTGCGCAGTCTCATTGTCCTGGAGCTCGAGCTGCGCAAACTGCTCCTCCCACTTGCTGTCGTCTAGCTCCACCAGCTTGCCCTTGCCCTTGGCGTCCGGTTGTTGTTGCGGCTGCTGTTGCAGGGGCTGGTGGTGGTTCTGGTACATGGGCTGGAACATGGACTGGCCCGCCATGCCGTATCCCATGCCCAAGTTCATCATGCCAACGCCGAGCATGGGCCGCTGCTGGGGCACCTGGCCCGACAGGTTGCTCTGCATGGGGCTGGACCGTGACGACGACGCCTGCGCGTTCATCTGGTTGAAGCGGGCAAACTCGTCTGCGCTGAAGTGCATGCCGGGGGGCGGCTTGAAGGCCGACGACGACGCCTCAATGCCCGGCTGGCTGCTGAAGTCGCGGGCCCACGAGGGGGACGCCGAGCTGGCGCGCATCGACGCCTGCTGGGCCGGGTTGAGCGGGGCGGGGCCGGCGTGCATGGGGAACTCTTGCGGATGGCTAGGCGCGCCGTTGAGGAAACCGTCGAGCATCTACAGAAGGTGATTAGCGGGGGGGGGGGGCAGCCCGACTCAAGGAGCCATACCTCGTCCTGCGGCGCATTGGCGGCCTGGCTCCGGAAGGCGCCGAGCTGGGCACCGGGAGGCCCCCTGGCGGCGAGGCGGTCGCGCTGCAGCGTCTTATCATCCTGGACGTGCTTCTGGAACTGGCTCAGCGGGTTTCCGGCCGAGGAGCACTCGGCCCCGCCCATGAAGGACATGGCGATGCGGCGTGGTGATGTCGAGAGGCTTTGGGCAGACGCAGTCAGGCCGGCATCGACGGTTGCGATGGAGCGGTGTGTGTGTTGTACGTATGCGGGCGCGCGTGTGACAAAAGAGACAAGCGGGATTCAGAAAAGTCCAGCCGGGAAGCACGCGGGAGGGGGTAAAATCGGACTCGCAGTTCTGTGATCTGTGGTTGTCGCCTTGGCTATGATTTTGGTTTGTCACGTCACCAGGCGGCGCCGGTGGGGAACAGTGCCGAGGCAAGTCGTCTGCTTCCCCGGCGGCGGCGGCCTAACTTGAATCGGTGGTCCGCCGGAGTACCGAGTACACGGACACCGGATTTTTTCCGATCCGCGACCCAGGCACGTGACTATAGTCCATCTCTGCAACGACCCGGCCACGCTTATCGATAACAGAGTGGGGGGGCTTTTTGCTAACTCTTTTTTCCCCAGGAGCCCGCCTTTGCACTCTGAAGTTGGTGATGAGAAGAAGGCAGACAAACTGTCGTCGGAATTTCCAGTTTTTGAAGCCTCGAGCGTCCCCAGAGTGTGCGCCATGCTTCGCCAAGTGTTAGTCACGAAACCCTCGCAATACGCAGTTTCTTTCTGCAAAATTGAAGATCAAAAGAAGAAGAAGAAGAAGAGAAGAAGAAGAAAACTGACATTCATACCCCAGGAAACCTCGCAACGCGCGCTCCAAGCGGGCCCTGGAAAAGCGCGAGGCCAAGCCCGTCGAGAACCCCAAGACATGCCTCTTCCTCCGCGGGACCAGCTGCTCCCAGGTGGTGCAGGACGCGCTCAACGACCTCTTTGCGCTGCGGCAGCCGCTGGCCAAGAAGTTCACAAAGAAGAACGCCATCCGGCCCTTTGAGGACCCGGCCTCGCTCGAGTTCTTCTCGGACAAGAACGACGCCAGCCTGCTCGTCTTTGGCAGCAGCCAGAAGAAGCGCCCGCACGCGCTGACGCTCGTCCGCATGTTTGGCTTCAAGGTGCTCGACATGCTCGAGCTGTACCTCGACCCGGACTCGTTCCGGCGCATCGAGCAGTTCAAGACCAAGAAGTTTGCCGTCGGCCTGCGGCCCATGGTGCTCTTTGCCGGCACCGCGTTTGAGAGCCCCGTCGCGAACGAGTTCACCCTCGTCAAGAGCATGCTGCTCGACTTCTTCAGGGGCGACCCCGCCGACAAGATTGACGTCGAGGGCCTGCAGTACATCGTCTCCGTCACGGCCGAGGACCTCGTGTCCGCCGTCGACGCCGATGCCAAGCCCGCCGTCCACCTGCGCGTCTACCTGATCCGCACCAAGCGCAGCGGCCACAAGCTGCCGCGCGTCGAGGTCGAGGAGATGGGTCCGCGCATGGACTTTCGCGTCGGCCGCCTGCGCGAGGCCGACGCCGCCATGCTCAAGGAGGCCATGCGCAAGCCCCGTGGCCTCGAGGAGCGCCCCAAGAAGAACGTCTCGACCGACTCCATGGGCGACAAGCTCGGCCGCGTCCACCTCGGCAGGCAGGACCTGGGCCAGCTCCAGACCCGCAAGATGAAGGGCCTCAAGAGGTCGAGGCACGACGACGTGGCTGCCGGGGCGGGCGCCGAGGGCGCTGCGGATGCCCCCAAGGACGATGCCAAGAGGATAAAGCAATGAGGGAGGCGACGACGGGAAGCTGCTTGGGATTGGAGTTGCGGCGCCTCGGTCGGGCGGTTGCTTTCGAGACACTACACATGCTTACGCTTACAAGGCATTTGTCGGTGCTGGCCATGTGCAAGAACCATATTGAAAAGAGTGAATTGTGAGCCTGGCCTTGTCCGGTGGCTTACCACAGCAGGTCTCGGTTTGACAACATGATATGGGCCTGGGACATGCCTTGGAGCTTATTTGCAAAGAATTTGTTCCATTGTAAAGACGTGGGACTCTCCCAGGGGAACCCTGATAGGGCTCAGCGTGGATCCCTATACGACTCGATGGTGGTGGCACACCATGTACGGTGTCTACCCGCAATTTCGCTTCAAATCATTGTTTCCATTCTGAACAAGATACTTTTTCTTCTCTCGCCCTTTTTTGATCATCTCTGGAAGCTCGCGTTGTGTACCCTTTGCTGCCTGTCTCTTCCAAATGACATTTCATGAGATGAGCCGCCCGTTAGATAGTACACCCATTCCTCACTCGCCTTCAAAAACACTTGTTAGACATCAATCGAGAGGTGCCACAGCCAAGCCAAACTCCCCGCCGCCGGGCAGGGAGGGGCTCTTGGGAGGTCGAGTCTGGCTCGTCAGCAACTCAATATGGCTCATCATGGTCTCGGCGAGGCCCCTGTCCCCCTGGGGCTGGCTTTCGCACTCGGCACCCCAGACGTCCGAGGGGATCTCGTTGCCGTCCCAGACCGAGATGCGGACCGGCCACTCAAGATGGCGCCACCAGGGGGAGCCTGGCTCGAGCATGCTGACGAGGCCCGTGACCTCGCGGCGGGCCACATTGTCGAGCCACCACACATTGTCCATGCGCTTGAGCAGAGCGAAGAAGCAGGCGAGAATGGCGAGTGCGCGTGGCCGCTTCTCCTCGACGACTTCGAGGAAGCGGCGTGAGACGCTGGCGGGAAAGGCCAAGGCGGCGGGGGCATGGGCGTTTTTGTGCGCCCAGTTAAGGACACTGACGGCGTGCGAGTAGCCCTGGCTGGTTGCCGAAACGCGCTGGGCGGGCTCGTTAGCAAGCTCGTCATCCAGGCCGTCGAGCAGATGGCCAAAAAAGGAGTTGGGACCGAGAGGGTTGAGATCGAGCTGGAAGCTGGGTTGAGAGTCAATGACGGCCTTGACAATGTCGCTGTGGCGGATCCACTGCCACGAGGTGGCGACGACGGTCTTGACGCCCTGAAAGGCATGGAACCAGGGCATGGGCAAGACGTAGCGACTGGTCGAGTGCGCGTTGCCCGTGTCAGGCTCGGCGTCGTCCTTGGCGAAGATGCGCGAAGCGGTCGACTGAAAAGCGATGAGGGACGCCGTGAGAAAGAGGGCCTCGGCATTGTGGGCGGTGATGCCGCGCTCGAGAGAGGCGCAGTACTCGGCCAGGGCAGAAGCCGTGTAGGCATGGGAGGCCCGGGCGAGGGCCACATCGCGCGGGTGCTGGAAGCGAAGGTGCAGGGCGGCGACGGAGAGGATTGCATCCATCAGATAGGGCCTGCCCTCAAAGGCCATCTGTGGGACGGCGCGCTGCCAGACATCCTCGGTCGAGGGGGGCCGGGTAAAGAGAGTCTTTGAGGTGCTGGTGGTGAAGTGATGTAGGAGCCGAAGCTCCATGAACCTGTCAACCTGTCGCGGGGAGGCGGAGGCGGAGGCGACAGGGAGAAGTGGCGTGGCCGGGGGAGCATGGAGGGAAGGAGATGGCTGCTGGGGCGAAGGCGCCTCGGAGACGGCGAGGGTGACGGTGGGCGTGACGGCTGCGGGCGTGACGGCCGTGGGCGTGTCGGGGACGGGCTCGTCCGGGGCGATGGGGCCGTCGAAGTCGCACGAGACGCCGTGCTTGACGCAGTTGCCGCATCGCGGGTGCATCTCATCGCACTGCCACGAAGTCAGTTGTGGCGCCTCTTGCAGACACCACGACTCAGGCTCACCTTGATCTTCCTGCCCTTGCACCTGCGGCATCCAGCGCGAGACTTTTTGTGGGAGCGCCGGGGCGGCATCACGAATAGGCGCGTCGCCAGCTGGCAACCCGAGGATTGACAGCACGGATCCTGGCTGCAGGCGAGGCTGGCGGCATGGCCACTGGAGGCTGCCGATTCACGCGTGCGCGGGCACTCAGAGCAGAGGATGGCCGAGAGGGGGGCAAGGAGGGGCACACAGGGGGCCCTTGGACGGCTGGTGCGACAGGGGGAGTACTGCTGGGCGTGGGGCGTAGGGCGGAGCCTGGCTATGGGACAAGACGATAGGCCATTGGGGCTTGTGGAGAGCGAGGGTCGATGGAGGTCGGCGAGGCGACCAGTCTTTGTGTGGCGATGCTGGGATGGAGGTAATGCGGTTTGCAATGCTGAAGAAACCTCGGGAGCTGATTGGACCGTCGAGGGGGGAGGAGCAGGAGGCTTGTGGGCAAAGGATGGTCCTGGACACCTTGTGCTGCGCTGCCAGCGGAGAACAGAGACGGCGGCCAGTGCCTCGGTGGAACCCTGTCGTTACCGCATCGCCTTTGCTGGCCTGAAGAGAGGGAGGAGAAGCGATGAAGTGACGATGAAAAAGGCATTGCGGTGGTGCCAGTGAGCTTAGTAATCAATCGATCTAAAAATCGACGACAGGGCAGGGTCCAGAGAACACGTGCTGAGGATGTGGGGACCTGGACCCCGGAACGAGGTCCGACTTTTCTCCGTCCGACCTGTCGTGGACGCCCTGTGTCTCTGAAGATGCCGCTATGACTGTCCACAGCGCCAGAGAGCCAAGCCCTCTGTCGATTGAAGATGCGTGGCTGCCATGAGGCGATTCCCGACACGCTACTTTTTGGCGACGACTCATGGACCAACACAAGGCCATGTTTGGGTTGGTTGTGATGCCAGACAGTTACTGCTCGCGCAACGATGGGACGGTGTCTATCGATGAATCAACGATGGCAGCAAGAAAGACTGGTTCCTCGAGTCTTGGGCCGTGCTACAGGTTGGACACGAGACTATCGTGTTCCACAGCCCAGTCAGCCGACTCGAGACCATGAATGACCCCGCAGAAACCAAAGGACGTCAGGACAACCGCGTCAGTATCCGTACATGTGTATGTATCGACATGAGACTCAGTATGGAGAGCCCAACGTGACCAAGCTTTGAGCTGTAACTGGTTCGTGGTCAGCATATATGTGCTTCGTGTGGTTGCCTGCCATGCCGGACATGCACGCGTGCATGCATACGGTTGGTTTGCTAGGCCGTGCCGTGCCGTGCCGGTTCCATCGGTACTCTGCAGATTGGATTGTCCGCCGTTGATGAATTATGCTTGTTCAAATCATTATTCCGCTTGCTATATGTAGCAGCGGCAGCAGCAGTTCCGTGGCACAAGAGCCCGTTGCTGCAACGTCGCTGCCACGTGACCATCAAGTACAGGACGGAGAGACCCCTCACCCCTCGCCCCTCAACCCTCACCATTCCTTATTTGGGTCGGCAACCAGCGCCCGAGGCGCAGGCTAAATTAGCCGCTGTGAGCAGCCGCTGCGAGCCGCCGCTGCCCGCGATGCATTTGTCAAGCAAATGCCGTCGCGGGCATCCATGCGCTTTGTGATTCGTCAGCCAAGGACGCATTTCCAACGGGCATTGGTCATTCGTCGTCACAGCTGCACCCTTTTGAGCGGCCAACCTCTCAATCGAGGAGGTGCATGGCCTTGTACAAGGTAAAATTATGCTTTGTTAAGCGGCCGCCCTCTCTTCCCCACCGCCTGAATGACACCATTTCGCATCTCCCTGACGAGAGCGCGCTTGTCGTGACTCAATGCCGTCAACCGTTACTAATGGCCCTTCAGCGCACTTGTTACAGCACATGCAGCGCTGTAAATGCCCAAAGTACTCAGTCGCCAGTCCTCCGTACCGCCTATATCTCCCGCGCATAAGTAGCACTAGCAACCCGCTACCCCACCACCAAGGATCCTCCTCCGTCCACCATTAATCCTCAGCTTCTTCCACACACAAAAGACGAGGGCGAAAATCTCTCTGTTTCCACTCTGTCCTACCCAATCTGCGCTCCCTCTCTCCCGTCTCCTTCTTCTTCCCTCGTCATCCCCCTTTGCGCACTTCACGTCTCTTCAATCTCGGGTCCCTCCGTAACCGGCGAGTACCATAATTACATCCATCGACGCAATCGGCGAGTACAGATACAGAGGCAGCCAGAAAGACCGTCCAACCAACAGACCGTCGTCACAGCTTCCCGGGGTCTCCTCTCCCTCAATTGATCCCGCCATGTCTCCGCCCGTCACCTCGGACCCCGTCTCGACGCCCCCCCGGCCCCCGACGCCGGTCCACGGCTTCGGCACCCTCGCCATCCACGCCGGCTCGCCCCACGACCCTTCGACCGGCGCCGTCATCGAGCCCATCTCCCTCTCCACCACCTTTGCCCAATCGGCCGTCGGCAAGCCCGTGGGCGACTACGAGTACTCGCGCTCCTCGAACCCCAACCGCACAAACTTTGAAAGTGCCGTCGCCGCCCTCGAGCATGCCCGCTATGCCCTCGCCTTCGCCAGCGGCAGCGCCACCACGGCCGTCATTCTCCAGAGCCTTGCCGCCGGCAGCCACGTCATCTCTGTCTCTGACGTCTACGGCGGCACCCATCGCTACTTTACCCAGGTGGCCAAGGCCCACGGCGTAAAGGTTACTTTCACCCCTGAGATCGAGGTCGACATCAGCGAGCACATCACCGACCAGACGCGCCTCATCTGGATCGAGAGCCCCTCCAACCCGACGCTCCGCCTCGTCGACATCCGCGCCGTCGTCGATGTCGCCCACCGTCACGGCATCCTCGTCGTCGTCGACAACACCTTCCTCTCCCCCTACGTCCAGAACCCCCTCGACTTTGGCGCAGACATTGTCGTCCACAGCGTCACAAAGTACATAAATGGCCACAGCGACGTCGTCATGGGCGTCGCCGCCTTCAACAGCGACGAGCTCAAGGATCGTCTCGCCTTCCTCCAAAACGCAATCGGCGCCATCCCCTCGGCCTTTGACGCGTGGCTCGCTCACCGTGGCCTCAAGACCCTCCATCTCCGCGCCCGCGAAGCCTCGCGCAACGCAGACGCCGTCGCGCACGCCCTCGAGGCCTCCCAACACGTCATCTCCGTCAACTACCCGGGCCTCGACTCCCACCCCCATCGCCACATCGCCAAGAAGCAGCACCGCGACGCCATGGGTGGCGGCATGGTCTCCTTCCGCATCCGCGGCGGCCACGCTGCCGCTGAGCGCTTCTGCCAGGTCACCAAGATCTTCACCCTCGCCGAGAGCCTGGGCGGCGTCGAGTCTCTCGTCGAGCTGCCTAGCAGCATGACTCACGCCGGCATCCCCCGCGACCAGCGCGAGGCTGTCGGCGTCTTTGACGACCTCGTGCGCCTGAGCTGCGGCATCGAGGACGCCAACGACCTCAAGAACGACGTCCTCCAGGCCCTCCAAGTCGCCGTCAAGCACTCGGCCGCAAACGGCGTCGCCAATGGCGTCAACGGCCAATGATGTCTCTCGCCCATGTTTTCCACGCTGCCTTTTTTTTTGGTCTCACTTGCTTCTCCGTCGCGTTTTGCCGCGGAACATGGTCACTGCATGCCACGAGGATAGAGGTTTAGAGAACGGGTTCCATGCCCCAGCTTCGCGCCGAGTGCTCACACCGGCGGCCAAGAAAGATATGGGTTTCTTTTTTGAATAATTTTCAAATGTCCTTGGATATTAGTGCGGGATTTGCTTGAACGCATCGAGCGCATGAGGAAAAAAGGACGCCTTATGGGATCCCTCTTCTTTTATATACAAATACAAACCAGCGGCTTCGGGCCTGCCAGACTAGGCGGTGGCACCTTGCCGTCCCTGTTGGGCATCTCTCATCAGTCATGAGTTTGAAACTAAGGAAAAAAGGGCCAAGAATTTCATCATGCACCATCGTCCACGTTAGAGAGGTTTAACAGGTTGTCGGCATACTCGTTGGCCATGCTGTTGCCCGCGGTCCACTCGCTCCGCCGGCGATGAATCTCGTTCATGCCTTGGCAGGCCGTCTCGGCGATGTAGTGCAGCTCATCGAGCGTGTTTGAGTTACAATTGTTGAAGACGCCGTCGATGCTCTTCTGCCACTGCGACGTCGGGTTCGCCACGGCCATCTGGTACGCGTTGGAGTCGTGCTCTACGATGCCGAAGTCGCAGGCGCGCCGGGGCAGGCGGGCGACGAGGTGGTCGTCGCCGGGGTCGCGCGGCAGATACTCGACGGCGTTGCCCGAGGGCGCGTCGGGCTGGCGGATGCCGGCGACGACCTCGACGAAGCGCTGCGAGATGCTGCGGCTGAGGTCGCAGGGATCCACGAGGTCGAACTCGGGGTTGCCGGACACGTCCTCGCGCAGGTAGTGGTCGTAGGCGAGGAAGGAGGCGCGGCAGACGCGCAGGCGGCGCGCTGCGCAGCGCAGCATCATGGCGATCCAGGAGCAGCCGTCGGCGGGCCGCTGGTTGGGGATGCCGATCCACAGCACCTTTTTGGAGTCCTCGTTCCAGTCATGCGACTGCTCCGCCTTGAGGTAGATTTCGTTGAGGTAGAGCTCCTCAAGCGAGTCGCCCAGGTCCTCGATGATCTTGAGGAAGGCGTCGGGCAAGATCTCGATGCGCTTGAGCTCGAGACAGGTCAGGTTAGTCAGGTAGACGCGCGGGGCGGGTAGGGAGCGCGCGCGCCACTCGTCGAGGGGCAGCTGCCAGGAGCGCGTCTGCTTGAGGCCGCGCGGGGGGCGATCGTCGTGGTCCATGCCGATGAGACACAGCGTCTGCAGCAGCTCGGCGTTCTCAATCAGGTTCCACAGGCAGGAGCCGAACCAGCTGACGCGCGCGGGCTCGCTCTCGTGGCGGCGCAGGCTCAGGACAAGGTGTTTGAGGGCGGCGACGACGGCCATGATATTCATGACGTCGCTGGGGTTCATCCAGAGGTGGCAGATGGCAATGTCGGTGACGTTTTCGAGCACGAGCGCCTCGAGGTCGGCCGAGTCCTCGTCGGGCCGGTTGGCAAAGGCCTTGAGCGTGTTTGCCAGTATCATAGTGGCGGCGTTGACGTGACGGCCGACGAGCTGGAAGGGCAGGTTGAGGCGCAGGCGCTCGACGCCGCGGCAGTTGAAGAGCATGCTCTCGAGCATGTCGAGATACTCGACCTCTGAAAAGGACGTCTCGCTGAGGCAGTATTTCTTGTGCATGGTGTGGCAAAAGTCGCTCATGGATGGCACACGAGCAAAGACGGTCTCGAGGAACTCGACCTCCACTGCAGCAGCCACATCGTCGTCAGCATACCACACGTTCCATCGCTCTGCTTGTAGGCAAATAAGAAGATTATGATTACTGTCATCGCGCAAGACCATGAGATCGACATAGAGGCTTTGGCAGTGGTACCCGATGGTCTGCAGGGCGTCGATCTGGGGCCGGGGAAAGCCGCTGAGGCGACTGAGGCGCGAGAAGTCGAGGCCGAGGGTGCGGCAGGCGTAGGGTTTGAGGGCGCGGTCAAAGGCCCTGCAGACGAGCCGGAGCTCGAGGATGGGGTTCTTGGCGCCCTGGGCGACGCATTGCCGGAGGATCAAGTCGACGAGCTCCCGCGGCAGTCGATCCATGGCTGCTCGAGGCGGGGGGGGCCTGGGCTGACGGGAGCCGCGATCGAGGGGCATCCGGGGGGGGTGAGGAGGATATGGGTCGCTGTCGCTGGACGAGGGGGCGGATTGGTGGTGGAGCCTTGTTCGTGAACGAGTTGGGGGATGGATGGATTGAGGTTCTCCCATCAAGAAAAAGCCCAGGGGTCCCGGCCCGTCGGTTGGGCTGGTGGGGCAGCTCCAGACATCCAACGCTCCCGGTCTACCCTATAGCTTGAGGGAACCAATCCACCCCTTGGGGTTTGCCTTTGGTTTAGCACTTGGGAGAGAAAATGACGGGGGGTATTAATACAAAGTGCGTACGGAATAACTACCGTTCCTGCCGCAAATCTCGACCGACAGTGAGTACATGTCGTGCGCTGCCAAGCGGCCCGATCTTCAGTGTTATGCAACAATCTGATTATACAAAAATGAGCTCTCTCGTACGGGCCAAGACGGACGGAGATTCACCCAGAATATTGGCCAATACATCCCAGACCTATATGGCGCCGAAGAAGAGAAGAGTCATGATGCCGAGGACATGGGCACGGCGTTTGTAGACACGGACGGGAACCTTGACGGTGGCCAAAGGTGTTATCTCCAAATCGACCTGCACTCATCATTGTCCATTCAGCGGCAAAACCCGCCCCGGAAATGACACAGGCAGGTCCAAGTGTAGCAAAACCACGAACGCGAGTACCGTGTCTATCCAGGCAGGCTCTACAAGAGAGTCCCTTGCCCCGGCGAATTCTAGTTGGGCATCCGTGGCGAACCGTCGCCTTCAAGTCTGCAAAACGAGGCTGCGTGCCTCGACTTCACCCGGATCAAGACTGACGTTCCTGTCCCAGATCTTGTCGAAGCATACGACGATGACGGGTTGTTTGTACTCGGTACAAAGCGGCTCTCTGGTCCCCATGAGCGGGCCGCCCTCGGATGGTCAGGTCGTTGTCACGGAAGAAGTGCAACGCCACCGCAAAACTCTACAAACTCTTCGGTCCAATCGCACAGGAGGCCCATCTGGGATCCTCTGATCTCCGCCAAGGGTGACACAGTATTTCCCTCGCGGTACTGTCTGGTAAGCTACCGATGTGTCGGGCTCGGATTTGGTACTCTAATTACCACTGCGGCTTGTCACAATCCAACATCATGGTTGATCATACAAGTCTGAAAGTCGAAGGAACAATAGACAGTGGTTATTGGCCTGTATTTTTCGAAAGCCATTGCTTCCACGATCTGCGACCTCCTGGCGCACAGTTCAAATCGAGCCATATTGTATGCAGACTGCAGACGTGAAAATAACAGGTCGCTTTGCAGTTTAGCCGCCACCTTTTTTGTCTTCCAAAGTTGAGCGACTCCTGGTGGACGTCGGCAGTCAGGGTGGGTTACTGCCGTTTGTCCTTTACAGTAATCAATTTCGACCTCCCTGCCAACCATTGGGGGGCTGGCGCAACGGTAGCGCGGTATGTATTCACTTCGAATCATTCGAGTGCCCAGCTTGATGACTAACTCTTGAACAGTCAGATTCCAGACTTGGAAATTCCTGAAGGTTATCCGTTCGAATCGGGTGTTCCTCATATTTTTGGACCATCTTTTCTCGTGGGAGAATCGATGTTTATTTTTATTTTTCTCTTCATTTGGCAAGCCATGCTAATTACATTATGCACTTCAATTGCTGCGGCACCATGACTGCCTTGCCAGTTACCACTTTGACGTGCCAAGCCACACGCAAACGCTATGGCGAGAATGCCAAGGAGCGGTGAGTGTCGGGAGCTATTTCAATGACGGTTGACTGAGTACGAGCCTATACCAGACACCAAGGCGTCCAACTTTGGGAGGGCAAAGGAGGTTAACCTAAGATTAGAGGGGCTTCCTTATTTCTAGTCTCGGCTACTTTGCGATGCTGTCAGAATCTCTTCCTCTTGTTAGGGTGGTGCCGCCGGAAGAGGACATCATTCGTGGCGTCGTCTTGGGAGACCAACATGACGAGGTTGGTCTAAAAGCCGCACGACCTGGCTTGTTTCCCATGGCGGCATCACCAAGTCCAAGACGAGTGCGGCGTTGCCGGCTGGGTGCGAGGCACAAAAGTTTGGGATCCGAGGCGTCGTTTGCAGTTGCAGATGCCCGACACGTTGCCCTTGGCGAGGCTCCTGCCCCTTTGTCGATTTTTCCTCGATGCAGGACTCGCTATCCGGCACGTCATCCCAGCGATCCAACATCTTTCATGCCGTGTCTCCTGTTCGCTACTCCGTACAAAGGCCCGGACCGGGGTTTGCATATCGCCCCGCTTTTCGGCACCATTCACCTTCAAACCCGCCTCCGGTCAGCGGCGTCTTGGCCGGCTCCGTTCCGGTGTCCGATGTTAAAAGCCCGCACAGCGCCTCCTCCCGCCGACGCAACATATTACTACTCCCTCCCATCTCACTCGCTCTGGCGACTCAAGCTCATTGTCCATATTGGCGCAACAGGGTAGTCTTGCCTGGGGCACGCATACTCACCTCACCCGTAGTGATCATGGTCGTTGTCCTGGGCTGTTACTTGACCCCTAATTATGCACTCGACACAGATTGACGAGTCGAGGAAAGGGCATCGTTATCACCAGAGCCTGCGCTTCGGTGCCGGCGGGTGGAAGGGTGGGAGACGGCTGACTTTGGGCCGCGGGAGACGTAAGTCGACTTGAGGCGGACAACGATGAACCCTCAAGCCGGGTGAATGGCGTGGAGCTGGGCGGTTGTTTTAGACGCGAGCGGCCTTTAGGCTGGCGGCAGCATGCAAGCTGCCGTCGCCGAGTTGTGCGACGGCGTGAACTGTATGTACGTATCCGGGCGGCATGCCGCATTGGCACAGGCCGCCCCGGCTTGTCTCCGAGGTTGCACATGCAAAGTACGTACCTTTGCTTCAGGTAACCCCACCAGATAGCCTTCCGGCGCTCTCCCTCAACATTTTCCCCTCTCTTGCTGATCATCGGACAAGACGAGCAAAGAAATCAGACGACAGGCGGGAGTGCGAGAGGGAGAAATGCTGCGTGGCTGCTGAGCCACGCTTGGTGAAACGAGGCCAGCGTCTTGGCCAGCCTCCTTTTTTTTCGTCGCTCCCCCAAAAACAGTGTCTCGAAGCCTCACTTGACTCGCTGACCGGGTCCCCTGCTCGGGAGCGCCCCCTAGCGCATCTCGACTGACTCCCCGGCTGTCTCACGTTGAGAACCACGACATTCCCGATGGCCACTAGGGCCCGTTTTCAAGAGCAGGGCGACCGGGCCGATGCCCCGGCAACGGGGGCCGCATTGCTGGCCGAGGCGCAAGGTCGTTGAGAATAGCTGTTGTCTTTGCACCCGGCCACAAGGGGATAGAGGCGAGAAAGTCGTAGAGTTGCAGTGGAGAAGGAGGAAGCGGGAGAGGGCGTCGGCCGGGGAGGGGGAGGGTTCGATTCGATGCTCTGATCAACATGACATGGGTCTCCCAGCAACCGCCCCATTAGCCATTCACGGTACAGACGACACGCACTAGCGCTGTCCGAGCCATTGCGCCTACTGTACTGTACCTACTGTGCAGAGCAGGAAAAGACGGTGTGAGTGATCATTGACACAGCAGGCGGCGAGGCCATCGTGAGGTCGATGCAGAAAAGCAAGTCCTGTTGTGTGTTGATCAGCGTCGTATCTGGCTTAGTGCGGGACCTGTTTTGGGGGGAAGGTACTTGCTATCTTGGGCAGGTGGTCTCAGACTTCTGCGGAGTACTGTAGAGCGCCTCAGTCGTTGCAGGCGAGGTTGCCCCAGTGGTGGTGCAATGGCGGCAGGTAACTGCAACGAGGCAGGTACAGTACTGTATTAGTGAGTGTACGGAGTAGGTACCCGCGGTAACACGTCGGTGCAGACACACAGGCCGAGGGCGCCAACTGTAAATTGCAATAAGCGACACAGATTGTCTTTCATCAAACCCAAAGCCGCCGAGGCAGCAGTGGAAAAGTACAGCACCTGACCCCCGGCTTAGGTTACCGTGCTCGGCTCCCTGATGCCGATGATGTCGTCTGCCAAGTGGCTTCGGCTTGCATGGGACGTGGACGTGGTCAGTCTCTGCTACCTGTCCCGGCCTTCCGGGTACATACAGCACATGAGTCACTGGGCCTACTCATGCACGATAAGGCACCTATTCCAAGTACCTTCACCTCCCCATCTTGTATCTCGACTTGCCTCCCCGCCCCCCGGTCCGGCAGCAATTGCCCAGGAAAAAAAACTGCAGTTGCACCTGGCCGTTGCTCTCCACAACAAGACCGGGACCCTCCCGCTTTCCCACTCGCCTGCTCACTGCTAGCCTCTTTTCTCTCGTCTTCTCTCCACTTCTCCCTCTCTTCCTCTTCCTCTCTTCTTTTCCTCTCCCCAGACCCAAAGCTCTCGCGTCTCGTCATTCACAAAACACAAATCAAATCATTTCCCATCACCCCAGCATCAGCTTACGCCGCTTTCCCGTCCCTGACAAGTCGTTTCTTCTTGGAACTCTTGGACCTCGGCCCGCCTTACTCTGCCTCGCCCGCTCTGCCTCTCTGTGCCACAAGTCGGCTCCGGCTTTCCGCCTCGGTGCAGCAACCAAGACCAGCCTCTCCCGACTCTCTTCAGCAACAATGCGTGCCTCTACCGCTCTCGCCGTCCTGTCGGCTGTTGTGGCCTCGGCCCAATCTGCCCAAAACTTCACGAGCGAGCTGGACATGACGATTGATACCAACAAGGTCAAGATGGAGACACGAGGTACGCTTTCCCTGCCTCGACTCAACCACCCCTCTTGCTTTCTACTGACATGGACGCAGCTATCTGGTGCCGCGCCCAGACCAACACTTGTGGTCTCCTTTGCGACAACAACACCGACAAGAACAGCTGCGCTCAGGTAAGCCTCCCCGTCATGCTGGCATGTGCTCTTGTGCTGACCAGGTGCCTACCCCAACTTGTAGGATACCCTCAAGTTTGAGTGCACGTGCGCCTCCAACAAGTCGATGCCCGGCCTGCAGTTCTACACGCAGACCGTGCCCACCTTCATCTGCGAAGAACGCTTCAAGGAGTGCACCAACGAGAATGCCAACAAGGCTGATGAGCAGGAGGGCTGCAAAAAGAACATCCAGGCGCTGTGCGGCAAGAGCGACCCTCCCAAGGCACCTGTTAGCAGTGGCAATGGCGACGGCAGCTCCGATTCGTCCTCCAGCGCCTCCTCGCCAACTTCTCAGCGGACCAGCGGCCCCGTTTCCTCGTCCACCTCTGGCGGCCTTGCTGCCCCTACCATGGCCCCGGCTGGCAACGGAGCGGCGGTGGCGGCCGCCCTTGGCTTCCTGGCCTACCTTCTCTAGTCGGTCATGCTCATTGCTGTTTGAGACGGCGCCCAGGCTCTCGGTCGGGGAGGTCAATCAGGCCACCTCATCTTCGTTTCTCTGTAGCCACCATCTTACCGAGTACTTCTTTACCCCCCTTTCTCTCACGACCTCTCGCACGACTTGTAACCCCACCTCATGAGCAACAGGACGATGCAATGACTTCTGCTCGACAAGACGCGGGAATGAGGGATGGTCTTTATATCACGGTGCTTGAGCTTCGGCATTGCGCACGCAGCCCGACTAATGGAGAGGCAGGTGGAGGCGCGGGCGGAGGCCCCATGAGCCTTTGTCGGTGGACGCTGGCGTGTTGCGTTAATAATCCAATTTTCATCATAGCAAAAGGCGAAAAGGAGTAGTAGGCAAAGATACTCTCGAGACAATGGAATGACTGTTTTGTTGTGGCAACGGTTGCGACGTGCCTCTGACGGTTGGTGAAGGCTCCAAGGAGCGTACCTGTACCAGTGCAGCCGGGCTTCACGGCAAGACGACAATGGCCATGTTATCGTGGCGTGCCATGACCCAGGGGAGTTGATGTAGCGACCGACCCGTCTCCGGGAGAGCGGCGGGAGAGTGCCGGCAGCGTTTCTGATAGGGACGGCTGACCATGTCCATCTGTATTGCAGGGGATACGACGCGCCGGCTAGTCTCGGCCCCGGACGCCGATGAAGATGCGCTCCGGCCCGGGCGGGAGAATTAAGTGGAGCGCCGGGAGGCGTGTGGCCGGAACGAGCTTTACGTCGACGGCCATGAGGGATTCTTGGCTTTTCCTCTTGCGGAGAGGGCGCCAGGTGGTGATACAAGCTGCACACGTAGCTGCTCACGGGTGTGTGCGTGTGTGTGCGTCTTATTTCCTTGGGTCTGCCGCATGGGCGCCCAGCCGTCGCGGTGGCCATGCGGCCAACTCGGGGGCCTCTTGTTCGAGGTCTGTGCCTTGAAGGGTTCCCTGCCTGGGTGGAGCGGGTGGTGGCGGCGACGGCGGTGGTGAAGTCGTCACCGGCCGCGGTTCTGCGCCCGCCGCTCCATGTGTGTGTGTTGTGTGTGTGAGTGTGTGTGTGTATGTGTGTACATACGCGGCCTCGAGGGGCTGGTTAGGACGGGAGGGGGAGGGAGAGGCCGAGCCGTCCACTCACACGCACCGCACACACACACACACACACCCACACAAGGTGCGCACGCACGCACGCATTCGTGCTCTGCACTGGTTGCCGAATACGTCGTCTAGCTGGTGACGGCGGAGCGACGAGGCACAAGTGCGCAGGTAGCCAAAGCCCGACAAGGTAAGAAGCGACGCCACGACGCCACGCGAGAAGAGGTCCGAGGCCCTGCGGGAGATGCAAGGCCAGTAAGCGCTACTGTCGATTCTGGCGGAGAGGGCGCAAAGAGCAGCGGTTGGTTGGACGCGGGATCATCATCATGTTTCTGGCGTCTGGCGGTTGCTTGTGTCTCCCTGGGGCGCGGATTTCGACCCAATCGATGGGTTGGGCCGCGTTTGGGAAGGGCCTGAAACGACTGGGCGGATGAATGGATGGGATGGGGGGCTTCGGGATTGAGGGGGAATAGTCTGGCCTTGGCGGCGGTGGTTCGTTTGCTAGCTTGTGGCCGTCGGGTAGGTCGGACGGTCGAGGCCGCTTGCTGAGCGGCGCTGGAATAGCCATCCAGGGGCAAGAACTGGGCTCGCCGGGGGAAGAGTTGCGTAGAGCGTGGGAATGGGGAGTGAGAGCGGGAGAAGGAGTAAAGGAGGCAGAGGCAGAGAGAGGCAGGGGATGGCAGAGGCATATACAGGAGGTGTAGATGCAGACGGCTTGTTTCTTTGAGTGCGCCTGTCCATCTTTTCTCCCCACCTCTCGATGCCTCGCTTCTTTCTTTTCTTGCTTGTGTTCTTGGTCCCAATGGATGTTTGATCACCAGCATTAGCCGGTTCATGCTACACGGGGCAGCGCACGGCAGCGCAGCGCGTCCAACCCGCGATAGCCTCGCTCTCTCCCATGGCTGCGGATGTCGTCTTCTTTCCTCTTTCTTTTCATGTATGTGCATGGATCCATCATACCCTCCCTTTCCTTTCCCCCAATCGATCGTCGGCATCGGCCTGGGATCGGAACAAGTCACTAATTATTTCCTCTTCCCCCGCAACGGCAGGGGCGTGGCCTTGCTCTCGCTTCCTCAGCTTCTGTCTCCCCTTGCATCACGGGCGCTTGCACCGGAACCAACAACGGCGGCGCGGCAGCTGAAATGGCGCACTGGGCGGCGGGCGCGCGCATGCGAGAGAGAGAGAGGATGAGCGGAGAAATGGAAAGCGCAGAGCATCTTGTTGGTCCGGCCCCCGTGGTGAGTCGGAGGAGATGAGCATGGCCTGGTCCGGGGACATTCGCGGGGAAGAAATACGGGGTAGAAAGGGGCAAAAGGAAAGAGACGATGCGGTAGAGTGAGCGCGTGGACAGATGAGACGGATGCATGGGTTGAAGTCCCGTTTCTCCATGCGAAAAAGCCTCCTCCAGCCAGACTTTCTGGTCATGGGCAATCCACCCCCCCCTCTGCCCTTGTACGCATCTGCCGCCGTTTCGCCACGTCCATCCCCCCCGCGTCGCCCGGCGGGCGTGCCGATACGCTCCAGTTCGGCGCCGCCACGCCCTGCGCTGCGAGTGTTCCCGCGGCCCGCTGCGGCACTGGCGGCGGCCTGGATGAGATGCGTATATGCAAGCTCCCCCTCGCCGCACCCTTTTCTTGTCTCTCCGCAGAGTCGGCTCGTCTTATTCTTGTCTCGTCGGGCCGTCAGCGCGCCGGCTCGTCACAGACATGACAGACTGAGAGTGAAGAAACTAGTGCATGTGCGTGCGAATAGAGACAGAAGAAGAAGAAGAAAGGAAGCAAAAAAGACACAAAAAGGACGGGCGGAAATGACGCAGTCTCACGTACGGCGTCAAAGGCAAATCCCATGCCGGCTCCGCCGTCGGCAAAAGCTCCCGTCTTTTTTGGGGCCGGCCAGAGCAGAGGGAGAAGACGAGATGATGGACGGCCCACGTGCAAAGGCAGCCGCGATTCTTCGGTAAGGCCTGGACGCAATGTACGCGCATGAAAAGGCCCCGTATGCAGCGGCAAAGTCAGTCAGTATAAGACGGCCTCGGCCCTCTTTCGCAGCTCTGATTAGGTACTCCGTAGCTACACAGTAGAGCCTTGGCTGTTTCCCATCCCACACACACCTCTGGATACATAGATGGATGCCCACCAGCTTCGTCAGCTGTGGTCAATTTGCGCGTGCGGGGTGCTGCGTTGGGCGTCTTTGTCGGATGGGCAGGCCCGGCCAAGCCAAGGCACGGCACGAGGGCCGGGGTCGAGGGCGCCGGGGTCGAGGACCGCCAAGGGGCGTGTGCAAGAGCGTCAGAGGGTCAGTCGACGAGCAACACCACGGCCGTCGGGTCACGATGAACCATCTCATCAACAGGCACCCCGGGGCCTGTGCGCGCGTGACGGAAGCCCTTCACGACCAAGAGGCCGAGATGGAGAAGACGGGCTCGTCGTCGTCGTCTTGTCTGAGGCGAGAGAGGAGATGGATGCGTCACGCGGGCCTCTCTGGTTCCTGGTTCCTTGCAGTAGCTCGCAGCGAACGCTCAGCAAGAGGCGGTGAAAGACTCGCAGACGACGAGGTCACGAGTAGGCTGGCGCCATTGACAGGGGAGGTGGGGGGATGAGACAGGGAAGTGACGACGAGATGGAGCAGGCGGCTGCTGCACACGTGATCCAAGGCCCGTGGTCGAATCTCGCAGCCCACGCATGTCCCTGAGTCCTGACGGCTGCATGCGCGCATGGCATGTGCATGCACTGTCCCTTTCATCTTTTCATCTGCCCCGATGCTGCTCTGCGTGCGTGCTGCTCTGCGTGCGTGCTGCTCTGCGTGCTGCGGCTCCATGACTCGTCGTCCATGTGCCTGCCGCTGCTTGACCGCCTCCTTTGCGCTCTGCCGATAACTTGTATGTGCCGGGAGGAGGAGGAGGAGGAGGAGGAGGAGTCATGGGGCTCGGTTGAAAAGAGGCATGGATGATGCCTGGTCAGCACGCATCCTCGAGCAAGGCAGCAATGTAGAAAAACCTCGTCCGGCAAAGCGCCCCGGCGGAGCAGCGCCCCAAAGTCAATTGCGGATAGGGCCGAGACGGCGATGGGCAAAAAGCTTGTCGGCCATTTCAGGCTCCGGACGCGTGGAGCACTGGAGACTATCGGCACAGGCCGTGCAAGTACTTACTGTAAAAGCATCCGTTAGTGCCTGCGATGATGTACTGCACAGTACAGTATCCGCTAACTAATACCTGCTACGCAAGTGCAATAATAGAGGACAGTGCTGGACTCGCTCCTTCAGCATCACAGGGATGATGGATTGATGACAGACAGACACAGACAGACAGACACACGCACACACACACACACCCTTCGTCGAGCGTCTCCGTCGGCGGCAAAACCCGACGGCCCTCTCTCGGTCTGGTTCGTGTCCCAGCTCGTTTCTTTTCCTGTCCTCGGCGCGGCTTCCTTTTGTCTGTCTCGCTTTGTTGCCCTTTTCGTCCTCGGCTCGACTCACACGCCCTGCTCGATTTGGACGTGGCTTTTGCTGACCGGCGACTGCTGCTGATGAACGAACAATCATGCAGAGCGTGTCTGAGACGACTGCTTCACTGCATCGACACCTCTCCGTTTCCGCGGCCCGCTGCTTCTCGAATCCTGTCTTGTATTCGCCCAAGGAAGGTGTGGCGCCCTCTCTCCTCTGCTCCGATACAGTGCAGTCCTCGGCTTGGCCCCCCTTTTCAGCCCACCACGCCCAGTCCAATCGGGATCGAGGTCATTACCCAAAGTCTGTCTGCTGCCCATCTGGCTGGACTCTGTGGGGGAGAGGGAGAGAGTCGGGGATCCCGATGATGCAAGGGGGGCCTCGGCCTATTGCCCCCCCTGCAGTGGGCAGGCGTTTCGCATGCAAGTGCACGACATGAGATGCCCAGGCCAACCGCGTCAAAGAAAAAGAAAGGAAGAAGAGAAAAGCAAAGCGTCCCCGGCCTTGTCAAGAAAGCCCCCGTCACGACGAGAGAGGCAGAGGAATTGGGCCGACGCGCATCCGCCCGCAACCTTTGTACATGCGGCTCTCCCCAAGCCGCTGATCATGACCATCACAACCATCATCATCATTCATCAGGAGGGCTTCTTGGCTGGGAATCTTTGGACCTGATTGGGCCATGCTCGCTGTCTGTGCGCCCGCGAAGTTGGTCATGGTGGATGGAGCACATGCGGTGTAGGGGAAGGAAACGACTCCCCTCCCGGCAATGCATGCTTTCTTTTCCCCCCCTCTGGTGACCCTTTGTTCTTGCTGGGCAGCAAGAAAGGAGACCCTGAACACGTGTGGCCCTCCCATGTCTCTCTCCACAGAGCACTTGCATGAGACACCGAGACCGAAGCCGCCCGGTCTTCGGGCGCCCCTCCCCCCTATTATTATCACGGCCCTCTTGTGTCTGTCTCTTGTGCCCCTTTTCTTCCATTTCTTCTCTTGTTCTGCGTGCAAGTGAACGCTGTAAGTCATCAAGGGGGACATGGATGGATGGGTATCCGGATGGATGGCTGCGTAGCCGTCTTGATGCAAAGCTAGCAAACGTCCTGAGAGAGAGATGAAGGAGGACACGCATCGTCCCGTGCTGCGGACGACAGCCAACCAAGCCAACCAACGTGCCGGTACCGCAAAGCCACATCCGATGAATGCTGCTGCTGCTGCGTGAATGGCGGCTGCCGCAGCACCACCCTTGCACTGGCCGGAGCGGCGCCCACGTCGCCTTGACCCCCCGCGGCCATCTCGCCAGGGGATGCCGAGGCTAAGGCAAGGTACGGCGAAGCGTGTCTGCTGTAGCTGCTGGTCGTCGTCAGCTGGCGAGCTATTGGCCAGCCTCGGTGCTTGGTGTTTACCCAAAGAGTCTACACCCAACTTGTTAGGCCTCAGCTCGGGGCCAAGCGAGTGCGAGAGTTCTCTCTTGTTTGCTGTTTCTTTTTCCCCCGTCTTTCCCCTTTGGGCCTCCTTCTCGCCCTCCTTTCTACTCTGCTGTACGGAGTAGTCCCGACACTCACACTCCCCCTCCGTCCTCATCGTCATCGTCGTCGGAGCCGGCTGGATCCGCCTTTCAGTCACATGGGAAGGACGAGGGACGAGGCTCGGAGATGAGAGAAAGAAGAAAAAACAAACAGCGAGTATTTGGAATGCCGGCAGAAAAGGGAAAACAAGCCAAGGGTCGTATCGGGACTCTGAGGGAACACGTCTTTGCAAGACACATCTCTGCAGCACAACTACCATTCAACTGCCGCAGATGCATGTACTGTGCTGTGCTTTGTAGACAAACGACCTCTTTGTGCCCCGTATCCGTACCGGACACTCGTGTTTTCCTTTTCTTCTTGACAGTTCCCTCTCTGGACCCGTGTCGTCGTCTGTTTCCTTCTTCTCCCGCAGCACCGTGCGCAGCGGGAGGGCGAGTGGTGGTGGCTGGGCGGCGGTGGGAGAGGCGTCGGTGGGAGAGGCGTCGGTGGGAGCGGCGTCGGTGGGCACATGGCGCCCAAGAGCTAGGCCCGTCGTCCACCAAAGACCCAGCGCTACGCCCGCTAATGTACCGCCCATAGCTTCGGCTACGGCCCCGGCTACAGTTGCTCCGTACAGCTGTCGCGACCTGCTGTACCTGGCCTGGCCCCCCCCCCCCCTAGTGCCTAGCACCTGGCTACTGTAGGTGCTAGGTACCTAGTACCAAGGCAGTTAGTAGGCAGACAGGCACGGCTAGGAGGCGCCAACTGCGAGCTCCCTGACTGGCCCGCCGAGCTTGCACGCCATCCACTCTCCACTTCACTACTGCACTCTCTCCCCTCACACCTGTGCTCACCTCCAACCTCGTCCGCCCACCATCTCTCGCTCTGTCATTTCTCATACACACACGCTCTCTCCCCTGATGCACGCACTCTCTCCCATGTACACACAGCACTGTGCTGTACGGAGTGCGCTATCACGGCAATGCTCTCTGCCTTGGCTAGCCTTGGCCTGACACGCCCCCTCCTCTACCACCACCACCACCACCATCTCCACCTCTCACTCTCACGCTCTCTCTCACGCTTTCTTCACTCGGCCATGCATCCATACATACAATACATGCACCGTCGTTTCCTCGTACCGTTATGGATGCATGCCCTGCCTGCCCGTCCCTGTATATAGCATCACCTCTCCCCCACCTCCTCCGCCCGCCCGTGAGCTTGGCCTCCCCCCCCCCTCCTCCTCCGCCTGTTTGCAGGTCCGTCTTTATGCCTCGTCGCCAAGCTCCCGACTTGCTGCTGCTGCTGGGTCAAACGCCGACCTATCCGCCAAGCCCGCTTTCTCGTCTCCGCTCCAAACAAGCCCGGCCCTGTCCCATCGCTCTCGCATCGTCCCCACCCCTGATGCGTCGAGGCAACCCGTCCTTTGTCGGACCATGATATGAACTCGACTTACACCTCGATTGACGCACTCCTGCCTCATATCCTCACCGACACTGCTCGCCCTCACCAACCCGCTGCCCCTTGTCCACCCGCGCCGCTGAAAAGCACTCGGTCCCCTCCTTTGTCCTTGACCAGCCCTTCTCACCCTCCTTTACCTTGTTCCCCTCGCGTCTTCACAGCGCCGGCTTCCTCTCTCTCTCTCCCTGCCCCGTGACGACTGATTGCATCCGTCCGCATGGCCGTCTTGCCGCTCAAGACACTCCACCGTCCCCGAACCGTCGCCACCACCCCCAGGTAACCGAGACGCACTCGAGAGCGGCGGTATGGCGTGCCAGGCGTCGGGCTGCACCGTCACCATTGTCCTCGCCACCATCATCCCCTCCGTCGTCGTCCTCCTCACCGTTGCCCTGCTGTGCTGGCGCCTGCTTAGGCGAAGGTCGCGTCTCTTCAACCGAGGCATCACCCCCATTGACGATGAGGAGATTGAGTCGTGGAAGTCGGGAACGACGCCCGAAAAGCACTCGGAGCCGCCGCCGAGCCCCTGGCGCGACAGCCTCACCTCGTGCCACCGCGTCACCAACTCGGTCACCTTGACCCGCAAGCCCACCAGCGTCATCGTCTACCAGAGCCCGTCCCAGTACGGCGTCCGCCTCTCCGAGGACCTGTCTTCGTCCCCGGCCCACGCCAGGCCGAGCTTCGACGTGCCCCCAACGCCCGTCCTCGCCCGAGCCCCCAACGCGAGGCCCGGCCTAACCGACGAGGCGGTCCAGGGCGAGGACGCCTTTGTCTCGCTGGCCAGGCGTCAACCGTGTCGTCTGGCCAAGCCGCCGCCCAAGGGCTCGCGGCACAACCGCAGCAAGAGCTCGCGGGCCACCATGTCAGGCACCACGGGCTCCCACAACACGTGGTACGGCCAGCAGTTTGAATATCACAAACTGCCCCGGAGGTCTGCCGACCACATCCTCCCTGTCCCGGCAGCGTACATGCCAGAGTTCAGCGACGTCCACACGTCACACTCGACGCCTGTCCGCACATCGTTTGACGAGGAAATCTGGCTGGGCGGCCTCTCCCCCCGGCCCCTGATACGGAAATCCGAGATTGGGCGGGCCATAGGATGAAGAGCCGTCGGGGGACCCGTGCGGCCGCAGGGAGCCCATCCATTGTTTGCAAGCAATGCGACATGGCCCATTACAGTGTCGACCCCTGGCATTTTCCCTTGTTCCTTGCCCGCCCCAACCGTCTTGCGGGGCTGCGAATGCCGGGACCCAACACAACCAGCCGGCAACTGCCTGTCTGTCCGTGGTGGAAGAGAGGCGGCATGAGCTCTGGATGAGAATGAGGCTTATTATCACTAGTTCCATACCCTCTTTTTCCTTTGTCAATGATGGATATACCCAGGGGGATCACATGATGACGGCACAAAGCAACCGTTGCAACAAGGACCCCCGACGAATCACCCTTGTCTGGGGAGATGGGCGAGATGAAGCAATGCGACAGACTCACGCAAGGCATGTAGTAGAGCATGATTCAATGATACAATACTCGCCTCTCAGCTCAGGACTGCAGCTCCAAGGTTGTCGTAGAGGGCATGTGACGCTTTGTGTCTTGTGTTGTTGGGTGGTGATGCTGGAGGTGATGCTGGAGGTGATGCTGGAGGTGATGCTGGAGGTGATGCTGTTGGGGCGGCAAGACGGACAACCAAGCAAGATGAACACGTAAGCGAGCGATGCCGAGTACGTAAGCACGCGGGGCTCAATTAACGCGGGCCCCCCCCCAACGCGTCCAAACGGGCTACGTACTGTGAACTGGCAGACGCGCCTACGGATACTCCGTACAAGCGCAGCCAATGTTTTCCAGCTTCATCCCATCCCGCCAACCCTCTTGGACTCGAGCTCGCGCCGCCGTCTCTCCGCCCGCCAACTACGCCGCTTGACACCGCCTCGTGGACCATACGCGACTTCTGTCTACGCGCGCGCCCGAGCTGGGGTCGCGACTGGCCGCTTCGCGCGAGAGAGACACTGCTGCGACTCTTTCCTCTCGCTTCCCAGCAGTCACGACGCGCCCCCCCTTCTCTCGTGTCGTCGCGTCAGGAGAGCCGGCCCTGACTCTGCCTGCCTCTTTCCCCGACGAGACACTCCGATGCGCGCAACCCGCCTGGTCAACCTGCTCCGCCGAATCATCACATAGTCGCGCGAATTTGAGACTCTTCGTAATATCCCACCCGTCATATCAGGCCCCGCAGCAGCCATGCCGCCGCGCAAATCGGATGCGCGCAAGAGCGACGCCCCGGTCGTCGTCGCGGCACCACCTCCTCCTCCTCCTCCATCGTCAGCATCACCAGCGGCTCCGGCTCCGGCTCCGGCACGGACTGCGCCCGACGACGACAATGACACCAGCACGCCCCAAACGCCGGGCAACGGCCAGGCCCAGCAGCCTGCGGCCTCGTCGGACAAGAGAGACAAGGACAAGGACGCAGTCACCATTGAAGTGGGAGGGCCCCTTCCCCCCCCCTCCGCCCTCACGCACTGCAGGACGCCCGAGCTGACTACGGATGCCCGCCTGCAACAGGACCTGACGCTGCCCAAGTCAATCATCACGCGGCTGGCAAAGGGAGTCTTGCCGCCAAACACCCAGATCCAGGCCAATGCCATCCTGGCCATGAGCAAGGGCGCCACCGTCTTCATCAGCTACCTGGCTTCGCAGTACGTGCCATGCCTGGCCCCCCTTTGGGACCACGGCGACGAGACAGGGCGCATGAAGAAGCCAGTAAACTGACTTGGCGGACAACGCAGGGCCAACGAGCATACCACCAGTGCCAACAAAAAGACCATTTCCCCCGCCGACGTCTTCAAGGCCCTCGATGACACCGAGTTTGGCTTTTTGCGCGCGCCTCTCGAGGCCGAGTTTGCGAGTACGTCTTCCGGGCTGCTGCACAGACTGCGAGAGAGTGCTGACCCATGCTCTGCCAGAATACAACGCCGTGCAGACGGAGAAGCGGTCGTCGTACCGGCAAAAGGTCCGGGCGGCCAAGGACGGCCCCTCCAAGGGCGACGACACCGACCTGGCCGACACGACGGCGGCGTCGGAGCCAGCCGCCAAGCGGCCCCGCGTAGCGTCGCGCGACAACGCTGAGACGGAAGACGAGGACGAGCCCGACGCCGAGGACGACGACGACGATGAGGTGGGCATGGAGAACGAGGACGAGGTGGCGGTGGCTGCGGCTGCGCCGGTGACGGAGGATGAGGACGAAGATGAGGACGAAGATGAAGAGGAGTATGAGGAAGCGGCAGGGGCGAGCGGGGATGAGACGCAGGATGCGCTCGAGTCGCGGGCCGAGGAGGGCGATGACGAGCCGGACGAGGCCTTGGATGGAGACGAGAGCGACTGAAGCATTGGAATACAAAGTGCCCCGGTCCCCTTGCTACCCGGCACTTGCAAGTGGCAGCCAACATCGGCTGCAAGCATGACAGAGAGGGAGGGGAGAGAGCTCGCGAGAGGAGACGGGGACGAGAAGGATGCTCGCCCGCCCGCAGGTCCAACAAAGGAGCCGCCCGCGCCCATGCAAGCCTCCCGCCCGCGCACACACACATATATTCCCATTGTGCCGTCGTCTCGTGCCGCCCAACAAGGTCCGCGGGCCATGGACCATCCATCAACCACAAAAGGAGGGCGGGAAGGGGGGCGGGAGGGAGGGGAGAAAGGATGACGATGCATCCTCTGCCGTCCCCATGCACCACCACCACCCCCCCGTCTCTCGTCGACCCTCACACGCACGCGCACGCATCGCCCGCCCGCCCGCCCGTCTGCCGTGCAACGCCCAGCCGCCACCACCATCACCACCCAACACTGCCCCCCGCGGGCGAGCGCAGCATCTCGCAGCGGGCAGCAGCATGAGCAGCAGCAGCAGCAGCAGCAGCCATGCGACCAACAGATAAAAATCATTCCTACATACACGAAAAAAAGGGGCCAATGCTATGTGTGTAGTAGGTATTAACTTCATCGTTGCCTGCTTACACAGTACCCCCTTTATTCCGGCCTCTGCTTCCCGTGTCCCACCTGGTACCACCGCCCTAGCCCGCCGCATGCCCCGACGTCGTGGCCTTTGCTCTCCATCCCTCTCAGCAGCCTCTTCACGGCCGCTCGAGGCGCGAGCCAAGGCAGAGGGGAAACCGGTGGGCCGGCGAGAGTGACATGCAGAGAGACCTCAGTCGGAGCTGGCAACCTGGAGGAGCACGAGTCGAGGTTCGAATTCCGTCCATGCAATTCAGCCCTCGGGGCCGACAACATCGCTCCCAGACGTGTACCACCATCGACAAAGACAAAGAAGACAGTAGGAATCACTCCAAGGACCGAAGCAAAGAAGTCTGGAAAGACAGATACAAGACCCCAATAACACTCTACATCTCCAATCCTTCGTTGTCGGCTCATCACACGAGTAAAAGGCTGGCAAAGTCAAGAGATCCCCTCATGAGACTAAAAAACGCAGATGCCTCCAAACGCCATGTAGCTTGTCCAGTCATCCCATTCATCCCGCCCCCGACATTATCAGCCCGTCGTCTACTGCGCCGGCTTCTTCGAAGCGCTATACTGCGAGGAAGCGAGTTCCTCATGCCTTCAAAGTCAAGTTGACTCGGAAAAAGTTGGTGATATTTGTGCGAGGACCGAGAATAAGACTTCTGATCCAGGAAACTTGCCACAACATGTTGCGCGTGGCTGCTTCGTATCCCGGCGAAAACCCGCGTCAAGTAGAGTAGAAAATGATATCTCAAGTCCTGAAAGAGCCCCCAAATCCACATTCGTAGCTGCAAACTGAAGGAGAAAGTAAAGTCGCAGGTCCTGTCCCGTCTTGTGCAACACAAGACAGGGCGTGGCGGATCGGTCGCCAACCCGTAATCATCGCAAAACATGGCGCAGACGAGACGCGTGCCTGCGTCGTCGCTGGGACGGCCAAGGCCAGGAATGAACAAACCGCCTCCGGAAGCAAAAGTCATCAACCAGGCTGTGCCCCCAAACAACTTCGCGTCATCAAGTTGGCGTCATCGAGTTGGTGGTAAGGGGAACATAAAGAAACAAGGAGACGTGATCCAGCCCTCCGACTCCTCTATCCCGTCCCGGCCAGATGCTGTACACAATTTCAACGGGCCCCCGCCCAAAAGCAAATAGCCTCCCCAATCAACCAGCGTGTTTGGGTATCCAGGAATGTCGTGGGAGCTCGAGCCAATCAAGGAAAAATCAAGGAAATTTCAGACAGTCGCTTCAGGAAGACACACCCGACACTTCGACCTCGCAGCCATGCGCCGCCCTCATTGCGGCTGTTGAGGGGGAGCCCACCACTGCGGAGGCGGTGAGTGCTGCTGCCCCGACCATGGCTGCGATACCGTCGGCCCGCCAGGCGCGTTCTGGGGTAGATATTGCCGCGGCGTCTGTTCCGCGGGGTATATGCCTTGGCCGGCGCCGTACTGCATGCCGCTCATGGTGGGGAAGGGCATGTTTGGCTGCATCTGTCCCGCCGTGCTCGGCTGGCGAAGATGAGGCGCGGGTGACTGAGACGGATGGGGCGATTGCGACTGCGTCGTGTAGCTGGCATAGGTGTGATGCGAAGGCTGGGGACTCTGAGACCACATGGCCTGGTTGGACTGATAGTTGTAGCCCGGCGTACCCTGGCTTATGCTGCCTGAGGAGCCTAAGTGGTGTCGGCGGTTAGAGATGAACGAACTTGGCTCAGTGTGTGCCGTGTTTCCTTCTGGAGGGCAAGGATGGCATGGGGGGCGGAGGGGGCGGAGAAGCATACTTCGCATTGGAGCCTGACCAAGAGTGTTTGGCGCGTGCATCGACTGCGAGTAGGGCGCCGTCGTCATCATCATCTGGGGACTCTGCGATGTCACAACAGGTTGCTGAGGCACGCCGGAGGCGGTCGTGTGCGGCGAGCTCGAGGGGCGGCTTGTCGGGACGTTGGCGTTGTTACTGTTGTCGCTTGAGCTCACGGGCTGCTGGCTCATGCTCGACGAGGGAGGTTGCTCGTGGGGTCGGCGCCAGATGCTTTGAATGTACTCGCTTCGCATGTCGCGCTGCTGGTTGACGGATCTGTTGAAGTCGGCGGCATGGTGAGCCTGGGTATGAAGCTCCGTGAGGGGGGTCGGCCGAGTCTGATCCTGGTAGGGAGGCCCGGTGATCTCCTGGCGAGGTCCACCCTTGATGATCCCGCTAAAGTCCCTCGGGCGAGTGTCGTTGAACTCTGCCCCCACAGTTAACCCAGGCATCCTCGCGGCGCTTCCGGATGGTGTTGCTCCCATCATACCTGCTTGGACGAGATGAGGCTGCGAGGCGCCAGGATAGGGGCCAGGGTTGTTGTTGTACACAATTTCAGTGTGGGGCCCGCTCATGAGGACATTGTTCTGCGCCGCCTCGGCCGCCTCGCGAGCCTTTGCTGCTCCCGGTCTTTTTTCGCCCGCGGGATCCGCTTCCGTGAAGCCCTGCTTGCGAGCCTTGGTTTCCCAGTAATCATCGCGAACCCTGCGGCCATTCTCGATAACGCGGCTGCCAAACTGCCGGAACATGGAGCGCGCGGTGACAATGGCAATCTGCCTCGAACGGTACGAAAACGGCAAAATCTCCTGCTGGACAAGGTCGTCCTTCTCAGCTTGGCTAGCGATGATCTTGTAAAGCGACCTGTTCTTGTTGAAGAGTAGGTACGAGTCGCGATATCCGAGGACCCTGGCGCATTCGGTCGCGAGCATGAACAGCTTGTCGCCTCTGTTGGGGACCAGAAAGGTCCGACAACGGTACGTGCGGTTGCCGAGCAATTGTCCATTTTGCATCACCTTCTTTTCTCCAAACTCGTCCATCTCGCGCGGAAGGTACTCATCGCCGCTGGGGTTCAGCTGATCAGTCGTGTGATCTCGGACAGTCGGCAGGGCCTTGAGCGTCGACTTGGTCGGCGTAGTCTTGGGAGGCGCCGCCGCCGCGGGCGCGTAAGCAGGCGTCGCCTGGCTGGGCAAAGATGTGCTCTGGGACTGGGGCGTGTGTGGCGGTTGAGCTGCCGAAGGGCCCGCGGGGCCGGGCGCCTGCCCTGGAGCCTCGGACGGCTTCATTGGTCGTGCGCGTTTGCGTTGCGGTGGGAAACGAACTATGCGCGGGACAGGCCGCAGTTAGCACGCGCGCTCCGAGAACGACATTTATCATCGCAGCTCTCTCTGTGTGTGTGTCTCTCTCTCTCGCTCTCTCTCTGTGTATATATATCTCTGGTTTGTGCCGGAACGCAGCGTCGCGCAGCGCGGGGCGTGGCGCCGGAGTATATCTGTGGCTGGGCAAAGGCTAGTTCTCCTCGGTGCGAGGCCCATTTGACGGGCCACTCGGCTGCTAGACGCCAAGCTACAGAGGACCCGTCACGACATACCGTCATCGCCAGTGGGCAGCGGCGCGTCGTGAGAATCCGAGGACCGGCTCCGCTTGTGGCCGCGCGGGGGCGCGTCGGAGAGGGCTATCAGCGTTGGGCAGTCAGCATCGCGGAGCATGAAGCAGGACACGGTCCGGCGACCATGGCGGGTGAGGCGACGGGAGGTTTGCGCGCGCCAGAGCCCCGGGACGGCCGAAGGCAGCGGCAGTATGGTGGTCGCGAGGGAATGCGGTGGTGCGCCGAATCCGCATGAAGTGGATGGAGGGCAGGCGGGGTGGGGTGGAGAGCGGCTGCCAGGCGACGAGGGCCTCCTTTTGAACGAGAGCAGGCAAGGGCTACTCACCGGGAGAGTTGAGGGCGGCAGGATTAATTGTCGCGCTATCGGCACCGCCTGGCTGAGCGGAGTACATGACAAAACGGACCCAGGTGAGGCGTCGGCGGCGGCAACGAAGACGAAGGAAGGCGACGTGTCGTGAAATAGTTGGGCTGGCAAGCTCAAGGTTGGAGGAGGGTGCGCAGCAGGCTTAATCGTGCATGTGGTTGCGTGGGAGGGTGTGTCGGAGGGGCGCAACGGCTGAGCCGAAGCGGGCCAAAGACACGAAAAAGGCCCAGGTAGACCAAGCCAGCGCGACCGGGCGCCGCCGGCGCCAGGACGGGCGAACGGGAAGGCGGAAGGCGAGCAACGGCGGGCTCGCGCAGCACGAGAGAGGATGCGAAGAGAGAGGGGAAAGAGGTGGAACGCACGAGAGGGCAAGAGGATACCGACCGGACGAGCGCAGGAGAGAGAGCTTGAGCACGCAGGAGAGAGAGAGAGAGAGAGAGAGAGAGAGAGAGAGGAGGGAAGATAGGGAGCAAAGAGGCGTCGAGGCTGAATGGAGAAGCTGGATTTACCTGCGAAAAAGAGAAGCGCGGGCGCAGACGACGCGCGTGTGCGTCGACGACGGCGATCGCAGCTCAAGAGCAGCGAGACTCGGGCAGCCGGCGACGACAACGGACGAGTGGCTCTGGCCTGGGTCGCGCGCAGTGGCGACAACAGAGGACGCGGATGCGATGACGGTGTAGGCGCGCGAATGCAGAGAGGCTGGCGGACGGGGGGTGGAGCCGGTCGCGGTGCGGTACGGTACGGTGCGGTGCGGTACGATGCGAAGCCGCAAGGAGTGTGCGGGCAAGATGCCGGAGAGAGAGAGAGAGAAGGCGCGCGACGACTGGATAGATTGATTTGACTCAACGATTGTCGAACTGGGGGCCTTGGCTGGAAGTGGGCGCGCACAAGAGTAGGGTGGCGGCGGCGGTGATGGTGGTGGTGTTGGAGATGGATGGGTGGTGGAGGCGGAGTGTGCAAGGCAAGGTAGGTATGGAAGGTAAAAGGCAGGCGGGTGGAGGGAGGACGGAGGGAGGGAGGGGGGGGGGGGAGGAGGGATGGAGTAATGGGATGGGGTGAGAGGGAGGAGGGATGTGGAGGGAGGGAGGAAAGGAAGGAAGGAGAGGTAGGGATGGGCGGATGGATTGGGATGCTGTGAGAGGCCAAGGGCAGTGGTAGCGCTTGCTGGCGCCGCTGCTTGCTTGCTGCTGCTGCTGCTGCTGCTGCTGCTCCTGCTCCTGCTCCTGCTCCTGCTCCTGCTCCTGCTGGGCATGCTGGCTCCTGCTGCTGATGGGCGGCAGGCAGGCGGGCAGGTGGGATAGGCCGCAGGTAGCGGAAGGTGTGGGTGGGTAGGTGGGTGGGGGAGGCGCAAGTAGCGCGAATTAAGTACTTGCACGTACCGAAGGGGTGGAGGCGTGCGCCCAAGTACCTGTACCTCGGGCCCAAGCAAAGTGCAAAAGAGACAGGACACCCCTGGCGCGGCCGAGAGTGATGCTGGCAGGCGTTGCGCGAGCTAGCCAATATGCAAATCGGCGCTCGTGGCAAAGAAGACAAGTATGAGGAGGGCAAGAAGGGGGGGGCGCGGCGCCCGTTAAGACCAGAATGGCACGGCGGCGGCGGCGCGCACGGCTTTCCGGTGGTTCAGGTTTATTAATAACAAACAAGCGACCGACAGTGGAGGGAAGGGAATGGATGGTGGGGAAGCAGGAGACGTGCGTAGCACAAGGGAGGGACGCCAGAGGGAGAGGCGGAGGGATGGAACAAGGCTAAGAAACGGACGTCGAAACGGGGACCGGAAGGTTAATGCTGCTGTTCATACGGGCCTGGCGCCTCAGCGATGGCATAAAAGAAACAGGGCAGACACGTTTATGGCGACGACGATGGCAAGGGCCAAGGCAAGAGGATGATGGCGGCGGATCGCTGTTGGCTGCTGAGCGATGGCGCAAGCCGGCCTTTTGGCCGGAGAGGGGAAGACCCGAGCGAGGTATAACCCCACGCCCCCCCCGTGAAGGCGAAAGTGAATGAGTCCGATCCGTCTTCCCCCGCAGGCACCCACGGGCCATCATCATGTAGAGGTACGACTACCACTGCAGTAGATACGCCGACGGAGCACCTGACAGGCCCGCGCACAGTCGAAGCCCGTCAGCGAGCGCTCGGCAGAAAGACGCCAAACTTATAGTTGTGAGCGGTACCGTTCAGACCATAAAGCCCCTGTGTCGTTTGTTCAGCCGACATGTCGCTGGTGAGGAATTTCAGGAGGGGGGGATGCTGTCGCTAAATGCGCATGTCAAAGCTGCATACATATACATGCACACTCGTACAAGTCCACGGTGAGGCAGCATGCTGACATGAGATGCTGGCACGCGAGCAGAGTACAGATTGTACCTGTACCGACGGCTTTTCCCAGTAGAAACTCAAAAGCAAGGGACTGGGCGCCTGTTACTCGGCAGACACCTCCCAGTCCTGCTGACGGCATGGACGAGATGATATATGTACGACCTGAGTACGGAGTGCGCGGGTCCCTAAGAAAGTGGCGGCGGATTGTCCTGCCCTTTTCATTTTGCGCAGCTGCTGTCGGGTGCTTGACAGGACCCTGGAGCAATTAACTGGCCCTGGCTTGCCCAGAAGTGTGTGCAACGTGCCGTAGGAGCAGGGCCTGGTCGGCGTGTGGGTGTCGACGGTGGCAGTCAGGGAAAGGCAGAGGGGTGTGGTACCTTTTGGGTACAGTGCCACGAGGCACGTTACTTCCAAGACCTTTGAGAAACTGCGAAAAGCGAGAGGTAATTACTAGGTACAGTAGATACTGGGGGAAGAGCAGCGGCCGGGGCCCCGATTGACACGTCGATCCTGGCCGGCAAGCGTTGGCAGCAAGGTGAAACCAGGAGCCGTAGAATAAATGCCCACGAGGCATGAATAGGCGTAGGAAGCCAAGAGAGCTGATTCCACATGTCGGTATTCGTACTAAGGCATAAGGCAAGGCAAGGCATCGATTGCCTTACTGCATGCATGTACATATCCACAGCCTTGACCTCGCACTTGGCTGCCTTGGGTATCTATAACACACGGGATCCGAGTCCCCGGATACAGATATTCACTGCACACTTGGAGCCTCGGCTGGTACTTGGGGGCTTTTTCTATGGGGCATGGACAAGGCGCACGACCTTTCTTGACGGCGTCTCGCTCGGGTTGGCAGACAATGCAACCGTGAATGGGATTTTGCTGCGAGGAACAACGATGGAAGCCTTGAAGCCTTGTGCTGGCCGGCTGCGGCAAGTGGGGGCGAGAATGAGCTCGGGAAGTTGAAGAAGGGAAGGGGGGGCAAGGGGTGAGCGTGACGGAGATGTCGGAGTTGCACCTCGCTGGCACGCGAAGAACCGGGCGACGGCAAAGGCCCCCGCGCTCTCATTTCACGCCAGCCACGATACCGATGAACGATTACCTAATGAAGATGGTACCTTGTCCTCTAGCACGAGCTACAGTAAGGTACCTAGGTACCTACCTAACATCAAGCAAGGCAACTTACCTATAGGTAGGTGCCCAAGGTGCTTGCTGCCTGCCCAAGCAAGTCCCTGAAAGGCAGCAAGGCGAGGCAGGTACGGGGTACCTAGGTACTTTGAGAATGTGCCCAGAGAAGCAGGGACCGGGTTGCAGGAGGCCATCTCTCCCGCAAGCGAGGTACAAGGTACGAGGTACCCAAGCAGGTATCCCAAGCAGGTATCGCCCTCCCTGCCGGCCAGCCATAGCCATGGGCCATCCCGCATGGCGTGCGGGCGGAACTAGGGGCGGGGACTTTGTCCGTTTCGGCCGAGGCTCCGTGACTCACGGCCAACCGCCAAGGGAGACAGGCGAGGGAAGAGAGGGAAAAAGGGGGGACGGAGCCGCCGAGTCTTGCTCGACATGCACGGCGGGGGCCCCATTCACGGTGCTATTCATAGCAGAGCCGGGCCGCTTGCGTACGCGTGTAGTCTGTACATGTGCCTCAAGCCTCAAGCCTCAAGCCTCATGTCTCATGCCTCATGCCTCATGCCTCATGCCTCATGCCTCATGGCCAACGGTCAGAATCAAGATGCGCGCGCAGTGGGTAACTTGTTTTAGGCCGGATCGCCGGTCCTACCCTGCGTGCCCAACTTCGGGGGACCATGAATAATGCGACGAAGAAGTTGGGCATAATAAAGTTTTCTCTTGGCTTGGACCATCCCTGGTCTCTTTCGTTTGGTCTGGCCGCCGTCGTCGTCGTCGTCGTCGTCGTCGCGCGCAGGGACAGGACTTGTTGGACCATGATTCATGCACCAAAGCTTGATGATAATGACCGCCATTCGCCGACCAGCCAGCCAAAAGCCCCCGCCCAAGGCTCCCAAACCTCGCATCGGCTCGGGAAAAGACGCATGCACTGTAAGCAGAGAGGGGACCGCTCCCTTGTGCAGGTATGTATTATTATGTGTCTATCTGCCTTGCCTTTGCTACTGTACCTGATGTTGGAACCCTCGTTCCCGCCCACCAACAACGCATTGTGCTTCGTGTCGACGGATATGTTATCCTACATGCGAATGGAAATCTACGTGTGGGACCGAAGACTGTTGGGAAACAAAAGGGTTGCCGTCCCAAAACGATTACCCAGCAAAGGGGTGGACGAGAAGAATAGGTAAGATAGAGAATCAGCTACCCCCCACACATACACACCCGTCCACACACTCACATCCACCACGCGCTCCGCACCCGTTCCCACGCCACGGCCCACGTTGCACGGCAGACCGGCATGTTGAATGTACAAGTTCGTGAGCCAAGCAGCCTAGGTTCCCGCAAAGCCCCCCCCCCCTTCCAACTTCCGTCCCCGCTGGTTTGTCTCGTCTCGTGTCTTGTCTTCTCGTTTCTTGGTTGTTTTCTTGCTTCTTTAGTACCCAACCTGGCGCCCTTGGCTTTGAGAGGGCTTGATTGGCTGGACCGTTGCTCACGCACCTCCTTCTCAACTGGTGCTAGTAGCGAGATGGACTGACCCTGGCTTCTTCTTGGCTGGGCCCCCTTGCCATGGAAAATGTAAGCCCGTGTCTC